CCCGCCACCTTAGGTGTATGTGGCTGGTGCCCTAGCCGCTTGAGCCACAGGCGCCGAGCCTCTTCCAGTATTTTGTGTGTTTTTTTAATAAATAAAAGCAAAATCTGTCTATAAATTCATATATTCCTCCCCTGTATCATGAATGTCAGCACTATACTGTTGTGAGCCTCTTGTTTCTAATATTTAATCTTGGATGTCTTTTTGTGTGTAAACATAGTGATTATCCTCAACCCTTGCTGTGGTGCATGACATTTCATTGTATGTACCATCTTTTATTCAACCAGTGCTTTATTGATGGAAATTTTGTTTCTGGTCTTTTACCATTATTAATAATGTTTGAATAAATAGCTCTGCAGATAAGTACTTCAGTATTTTGGGATGGATTGCTAGACTTGGGGTTTTGTTATATTAAATAAGTACGTATGTGAGTTTTCTAGAGCCTGTCAACTCCCTTTTGTCTATCTTTATTGTTTTGTATTCCCATGGCATTGTGTGCGACTGCCTGTTAACTGTCTGCCTCTCTACCTTGGCTTATTGTGAGACCTGGACTTTTACCAGTCTGATAGCTGAGTAGTAGTTTCTGGGTATAGTTTTACTTTGCATTTTTCCTTGGTTTGAATTGAGCATATTTTTATTTCCATATGTTTAAACACCATTTTTATTTATTTGTAACTATTCATATATTTTCCCATATGTCTATCAGGTTGTTGTTTTTTTTTTTCCCTCAAACCCAACATTATACAGTAGAAATAGTCTTTGTGATAGGCTGATAACCACTTTTTCTTTAGATGAAGAGTAACTTATTAGTGGCAAAAATGAATGGAGAGGAGATTAATTTCTGGACTACCATAAAAAGACTTAGGCTTTTCTTTCATGGTAGTGTTAATTTCAGTATGCCTTTAGAAACTATACTCTTAGTGATACAATTACATTTTCCTTAAAAGTTAATGAGGACATTTGGGCATAACCTTCTAGTTAATTTGGGGGCATAGAATTTAGGAAGAAAACTTTTAGATATAAATAATCCTGTTTAATTTTATTTCTGATACTGTTTGAGTACTTTTGAAAAGTAAGAATATAAACTTCAGATTTTGAGATACTATCTCAGCAAAACCACTTATTCAATATCTGGTACATCATAAGTTTTTTGAGATAGTTCTATCACTTTGTTATTGTTCGGCTTTGGGGTATCTGAAAGATTGTCTGCCTCGTATTACAGGCTAGGATGATAACAGTTAGTGAGGTAATAGACTATGAGACTTGGTAAATAACTTATAGGGTATTGCTTACCAATATTTTTTCATACATTGCATTATCCATACATGAACCGCTTTTCTTTTTAAAATACAGCTTTGTAATGAAATCCTAAATCAATTAAATGTCTTTTGTGACATTTATTTTTGATGTGATTTCCAATTTAAAAATCAGATAATTCTATTTTTCTAGAAGAACCTAACAAGACATGTGACAACAGTAACACTAGTGCTACTACTACCTCTATCCAGCCTAATCTGGAAAACAGTAACAGCAGCAGTGAACTAAATTCTTCCCAGAGTGAATCTGCTAAGGCAGCTGATGATCCTGAAAATGGAGAAAGAGAATCCCATACACCTGTCTCTATTCAAGAAGAGATAGGTAAGAATACACTTCATCCATTAAAGGGAGCTTCATTTTTTTGTTTTTGTTTTTTTATTTTTAGTTTTTAATTTTTTTAAAATAAAAGTTTGGTGGGGTGGGAAGATTTGGATTTTATGGTTTTCTTTTTTTGTTTTTTTTTTTAAATACACAGGTAGCACTTGTACTCACTGTTTCCATTTAAAAAAATACAAACGCACGTGGGGGAAAAATAGATCTTTTTCATACCCCTTCTCCAAAAGTAACAACCAACAGTTTGGTGTGTTACATTTTAGATCTTTCTCTCTGTAGTTTATCCATGTATGTACTGTTTATAAAGATTGCAAAGATTTGGGGATGTTTTTGTTTGTTTTTATTTTGTCTTTTTTTTTTTTTTTTTTTACATAAATGGGATCATTCTGCATGTATTATTTTCCATCTTGGTTTTTTTTCCACTTAGTAATACATGTAGGGAAATCACTTTATGTTATAGATTAATTCCTTCTTTTTAACTGCTGCATGATACATCACAATATGGATGAACTATAATTTATTTACTCTTTCTCTATTAATAGACATTTAGGCTGTTAGCAGTTTTTTCATTATTACAAATAGTTTTTTTTTTTTTAACATTCTCAACATGTATCTTTGTGTACTTGTGCAAATATTTCTGGCAATATAGAAACACTAAGCGGAACTGCTGGTCAAATGGTAGGTACATTTAAAAAATGGTAATGTTTGCTCCTTACTTGTATAATTAAAGAGATTTATACCAATACTTTACATACCTGTCTCTCCATTCTGTCACCTAAATTCAACATCATCGTCCTATTACATTTTTGCCAATGGTGAAAAGTAAATGTTTCATTTAAAATTTGCGTATCCCTGCTAACTAATGTGGTTGAGTTTCTTTTCATGTGTTTGTTGAACTTTGTGTGAATTGGTTATTCATATGTTTTATTCCCTTTTTCCTATTGAGTTTTGATGCTTTTTCTTAATGAGTTTTAGAAATACTTTATTTATTATGGCTATTAATCTTTAATTTCACATATATATTTACATAGTATTGCTTATTTTTAAGTCTCTGTCATATAGAAATTTTTACATTGTATATAGTTTGTTGATGTTTCTCCTTAGGGTTTCTCTGAATATTTGTCTCTTATTAAGAAAGACTATCCTTACCCCAAGAATATGCATATATTTTATAGTAATTTCTCATAGTATTCCTATAACTTTGTTTTTACTCTGTCTAAAGTATGTGTTTTGTATGGTGTTAGATGGAGATTGTTTTAATTAGAACCTTTTAATTTGCAAGTGACCAAACCAACTCAAACTAGCTTGTGTGAAGAGAGAATTTAATTAATTCATATAATTGACAAATCTAGGCCTCATCAGGCATAACTGGACCCCCAGGTATCAAAACTTTTTCTGTCTTCTTTTCTTTCTCCTTTTGAAATGTATATATGTTAACTTCATTCTCTTCAAACACAGATAGGCTTTTCCAAGTGGCTAGCAATATGGCACCAGCTATTTGTATTCCTGTCTTTCCAAGGTCTCTGACCCAAAGGCAAGGAAGGCCTCTATTCCTGTTCCAAATCAAAAGTTCTTGAGGAAGGAATTTGAGTGTTCTGTGTTGGATCATACGAGGTCAGACAATTAAGTTCACAAACTTGTCCTAAAAAAAGCGCTACATACCTTGTTGCTGAATATCCCTGCAGTCACCTTGGGAAGCTATGTCTTGACACCAATGCTTCACCCTTCAAAGCAATTTTAGAAATCTTTTCCTGGAGTGGCCATCAGAGCTATCATTATAGGTAGTCTGACAATTAAGTTTGTGAACTCATCCTAGAAATAGTGCTTTGAAGGGAGGACTAGGCTTCAAAGGAATTACTTTGAAGGTGACTGTAGTGACATTCAGCAGTGAGGTATGTAGCACATTTTCTAGGATGAGTTTGTCAGACAGTAAGTTTTCTAGGATCATTGTCTGGCCTCATATTGTTCCTAACCCTGTAGCCATGGCAGGCAAGGTATTTTGATTGATGGCTCCAGCAAAAGTATATGATTAGAATGGAATAGGAATGCTTTCCTAAGGAAAGAGGAGTGCTGAAAAGGTAAGAACACAGTTAATATTCACTATTTCATGCTTTGGTAGTCCAGCACATGAGTATACACTCAGATTTTTTCCCATACATATAATTCAGAGTTCCCTCTGACTAACATAATGCAAAGATCTCACCCACAAGTGAAAACTTTTCCAAAAACCTCTTTCCCATGATTATATCCAGTAATTTTAACTGTATCTAGACCCAAATTTAGGATTTCTATGTGTTGTTCATTAATTTTGACAGGTCTGGATGTGGCTTATCTTGATGTCACAATTCTTGAGCCAAATTAACTGCCTATAAGTAATACTCATCATTCTGGTAGTAGAGGATGTTCTTTGATAAATCTAGATGCCATTGGTTTGCCACAAGGATTTCTGTGAGTGAAATGTGAGAAGCATATGAGAAGACTCATCCATTAATTAATGGATACAGAGTCTCATTTTGTTGCCCAGGCTAGAGTGCTGTGGCATTAACCTAGCTCACAACAACCTCAAACTCCTGTGTTCAAGTAACCCACATGCCTCACCCTGTGGAGTAGCTGGGACTACAGTGCTCAGTGCTCACCACAATCCGGCTAATTTCCCTTCCTTTCCTCCTTCTCCTTTTCCCCTTTCTCCTTCCCTCCTCCTTTCCTTCCCTTCCTTTCTTCTTTCCCTTCTCCTTTCCCTCCTCCTCTCCTCTCCTTTCTCTTGTTCAGGTTGGTCTCAAACTCCTGAGCTCAAGTAATCCACCTGCCTTGGCCTCCCAGAGTGCTGGGATTACAGGTGTGAGCCACTGTGCTCAGCTCTAATTTTTCTGTTTTTATTAAAGACAAGGTTTTGCTCTTGCTCAGACTGGGCTCAAACTCCTGAGCTCAAATGATCCACTTGCCTTGGCCTCCCAGAGTGCTAGGATTACAGATGTAAGCCATGGCACTTAGCCAAAGACTCCTCTATTAGAGATATTAGAGACCACTCTGTTTCTGCAGCCTTTGTCCTGCTGGCTGTTATTGGTAATGAGTTGTTAGGGACTGCTATAGGGTCATACACCCTAAATACATTTTTTTCTGACAGAATTCAGAGAAAAATTACCCTTGCAGATTCCTAGGTACCCAACTGGACCTAATGCTTATAACTTGCATCAGGGTCCCTGAAATTGAACCCCTCTAGTTTCCCAGTTTGTCTAGCCTTGTGCCTCCTGTCATCATTAAACAATGAGCTACAAAGGCCGAGGTAGATCTATATACACTCTGCCACCAGGCTACATTATAGGGATTCACTCCTTTATGGAAAATATAGCCTTTAAGCAGAGAGTGTTCAGGAGGGACCTGTACTCTCAACCTCATTCTCTTTCTCTGCTCCCTCGGGTCTTGTCCCTGGGGTTGAATTTTCTTTTCCTTTCCCTAATTTGCTCTAAAGTTACCAAGTGACCCAGAGAATTGAGTCTGAGCAGTACTGGTTTATTGGCTTTGAATGAGGGGCTTCTTTATAAAACACTGCTGTTGTCTTTGTTTTCAGGAAATCCACCCTAGACCAAACAGTGTCTGTGAAGTCCTTATTATAGAACTTCATAGATGGTACTGAGAAGTAGCCACCGTAGTTCAGCATCTTAGCATAAAACCTCATGAACTGAGGCCCAAGAGAAGATTGATAGTCTGAACAACTAGCTGTTGAGCTGAGGCCAGCAAAGTATCCAATACTGCTGCTCTATCTTGATTTAGTCAGTGCCATATCTTGGAGTCAAAATCTTAAAATACTCTGTCAGATTATTTAGAACTTACTAGGTTTGATAGAAATTCATCAAACTTGCTTAGAATAAAAAGGGAATTTTAGTAACTCCTACAATAAGGAAGTCCAGAATTGGTGATAGCCTCAAGGGCATAACTGGATCCAGGGAATCAAATGAGTTTATTATGGTCTTCTCAGTTTTCCCCCTTTCATATTTTTCTTTTCTTTTCTTTTTCTTTTTCTTGTCTGTGATGGCCTGATTGTTTACTGTTATTGATAGCTTTCTCTGTGTTTTGGGAATAAAAGTAGCCAACGCCTAATTTATACCCTTTCTGCTCACTAATTAAAAAAAAGCAAAGATTTTTTTCTCTATCTCCAGATTCAAAAAATTGGAATAGGATGCTCAGGGGATTGATCCACATAGCCAGCGCTGGGACCATCACTGTGGCCAGCCAATGGTGTGCTTGTTTGGCCACGCTGAGTCCTGATGCTTACCCCAAAGGGGACAGGATACTTGATTTGCTGGCAGAAACATAGGATTGAGATGTTGAGGAAAAGCATCTCTCCAAAGGAAAAAAGAGCAGAATAGATAAAATTAACAAGTGTCTACAAAATTGTTGTAATTTTTCCTCACAAAATGCATTGTCAATTTTCCCAACGCTCTTTCCTCTGCTTATTTAAAATGCATGATAATATAGTAAATTGTCCTGTCATTTGCCAGTGCCACAGTATCTTAAATTTTTTAAACTTTAAAAAAGAAAACTCGGATCTCATTTTACTGTCTGGTCAGTGAAAATTAAACAGTGATGCTGTCATTTTAGAATGTCTAGAATTTTTCAGCCAAAGTTAGAATTGGAATATAAAGCAGAAATTGCTCCTGGGCAGTTCAGTCTGTCACTTTAAAAAGTTAAGTTGCTATTAAAATGTTGAGAGATCTTTATTATGTTAAACTAATTTATTGATTTTTACATTAATAAGCACACACCAATAGTTATCTAGATTCCCTAGGGGAAAATTCACTTGGCATTTATGTTTATAAGCTCACAACTATTAGGTGTTTAAACAGAATTTCAATGAAAATCTTTCTAAAATTAATGATATCCTTTCTATACAGAAATCTATACTGAATATATAAAGTGACATTTTGTTAGTGTGCATTTTGAGTTAATTATGCTTGTTACTTGTAAGTTTGTAGCAGCCCTTTTTCTGTTCTAGTAGGTAAGCTTTGAAACAGATAATCTAGCATGTGTAAATTTTCTGTGAAATGATCGATGACTTGCAGTACCAGTAAAAGACTTAAGAATTAAGTGACATTTGCTTTGCTATTCAAGGACATTGTTTATTTTCACTTTCTCAGTCTTAGATATACACCAGAATGGTTTTAAAGAAATAAGATGTTGTTATTATAATTGTTTACTTACTGTTACCAATTACTTTATGGCTTTTTCCTATTAGGTGATTTCAAATCAGAGAAGTCTAATGGGGAGATGTGTGAGTCTCCTGGAGCTGGTAGAGGAGCTTCTGGTTCAACTCGCATTATCACCAGATTGCGGAATCCAGACAGCAAACTTAGTCAGCTTAAGAGCCAGCAGGTGGCAGCTGCAGCCCATGAAGCAAATAAATTATTTAAAGAGGGCAAAGAGGTGTGTTCCTTCTGTTAAAAACAAAAGTCTCTGGAATGTGAAATAATTTTAATTACTACACCTTAAAAATAAAGACTAGAAGTTTGTAGACCTTCTAGAGGAGTTCAATTGTATTTTCTCCATCTCTGAAACTGCATTGGATAACAAGAATAGGAATGTCAGGTTATATTAAGTATACATATGGAGTCAAGTTTCAGTCCGTGCATAGAATACTATAAATGGATGATTTACTTTCTTACTACATGATCTGTCTTATTGTCTGTAATTTTAAAGAGATAAAACATTTCTCGGCTGCTATGAGCTTAATAAACAGCTATAGGTGATTTACTGCTGAGGTCTAGCTATGATCACTCTAGACAAACCTGCAGCTAAAGGATGGGGCTTACCCCTTGATAGCAGAGTTTAGTGTAAAGTACAGCACAGCATTCCAGCTCTGATCATGAACAGAACCAGAACTATAATATAGTATTTCTGTCCCCCCCACAGTATGGTGATAAAATAAGCACAACTGTGTCTCCCATATTTAGGGATTATTTGCAGGGTAGATACACAAGAAAATACCATGTACCAAGCATCATAGCAGTTGCCTTTAATCAATGGCTTTCATGTTTTGTTTTGTTTTCTTTTTTTTAGACAAAGCCTCACTCTGTACCCCTGGGTGGTGTTGCAAAGGCATTATCACAGCTCACTGCAACCCCAAACTCAGATGATCCTCCTCCCTCACGCTTCCAAGTATTTGGGACTACAAGTACTTGCTGCACTGCCCAGCTGATTTTTCTATTTTTAGTGAGACAGGATCTCACTTTTGCTCAAGCTGGTCTTGAACTCATGACTTCAAGCAATCCACCCACATTAGCCTCCCAGAATGCTAGGATTGCAGGCATGAGCTACCACAGCCAGCTCTCATACTGCTTTTTGACTCTCACCCTCATTCATACGTACATTTTTTCATAGCAACCCAGTACACACATTCAAAAGCTTCCTAAAATAGCATTTTACTTTACTATGTGGAAAGTATTCTGATGTTTTTTTCTAATCTAGTCTGTTTTATTACATTTCATTTTTTTAAATAGCTGAATAAGACTCACTATTTCATAGTTCACTAAAGGCTTGGGATTAACTGTTTGAAAACTTTTTTTTTTTTTTTTTTTGAGACAGTCTCACTATATCACCCTTGGTAGAATGCAGTGGTGTCACAGCTCACAGCAACCTCAAGCTCTTGGGCTTAAGCGATTCTCTTGCCTCAGTCTCCTAAGTAGCTGGGACTATAGGTGCCCGCCTCAGCGCCGGCTATTTTTTGTTGTAGTTGTGATCGTTGTTTAGCAGGCCCAGACCAAGTTTGAACCCACCATCCCCCATGTATGTGGCTGGCGCCCTGGCCACTGAGCTACGGGCGCTGAGCATGAAAACACTGTCTTAACATATTCATGGACTTTTAAAGCTGGGATGGTAAAAGGAGCAGAAGAGAAGGTATTTTTAGGAATATATTTTTGGAGGGTTAGTACACATGATGCCCTCCTCTGTCCCTGAAGTATATGTTATCAACTTGAAATTATGATAGGTGAATGATTAATACATACAGTTTCACGTGCATATTTGAGATACATGAATGTAGTTAGTAGTATCTGACATATAATAGGTACTTAATTAATGTTTTCTTTTTATAGGCATACCTTGGTTTCCTAATTGGAAACAATTAGCTTTAGCTTTTACCTTAGCTTTTAACAAATGTTCCATCATAAAATGTATCAATTTATTTGAAATGATTAATTATAATTATTATATAAAATTAAGTCTTTGACATGAATAATGAAGTCTTTTTATTTTCTTGGTCAGGTACTAGTAGTTAACTCTCAAGGAGAAATTTCACGGTTGAGCACCAAAAAGGAAGTGGTCATGAAAGGAAATATCAACAATTATTTTAAATTAGGTCAAGAAGGGAAGTATCGCGTCTACCACAATCAATATTCCACTAATTCATTTGCTTTGAATAAGCACCAGCACAGAGAAGATCATGATAAGAGAAGGCATCTTGCACATAAGTTCTGTTTGACTCCGGCAGGAGAGTTCAAATGGAATGGTTCCGTCCATGGGTCCAAAGTTCTTACCATATCCACTCTGAGACTAACGATCACCCAGCTAGAAAACAACATCCCTTCATCCTTTCTGCATCCTAATTGGGCTTCACACAGGTAAAGGAAACTAAGATTCATTTATTGTTGTGAATATAATAAATATTTATAAAATGATAATTGTAGTTATACACTTTAAAACATTATCAGTGAGTTGAATGAAGTCAGTTTGATCAGCAGACAGTGAGGAAGTTAGAGGCATGAATGTATTCTGATTACTGAACAAGCACTGCCATTTGAAAGATTTCTAGAAGCAGAGTCTTTTTTTTTTTTCTTTTAAGAGACATGTAAAAAGCTGGGCATGGTAGCTCACACCTGTAGTTTTAGCACTCTGGGAGACCAAGGCAGGCAGATGGCTTGAGCTCACAGGTTTAAGACCAGACTGAGCAAGAGTGAGATCCCATCTCTAAAATAGCAGGGCTTTGTGCTAGACGCCTATAGCCCTAGCTACTGAGGAGGCTGAGGCAAAGGTTCGTTCGAGCCCAAGAATTTGAGGTTGCTGTGAGCTATGACGTCACTGTACTCTACCAAGGGCGTCAAAGTGAGACTCAGTCTCCAAAAAAAAAAAGAGAGAGAGAGAGAGAGACATGTGCTTTGTCACTTGGGCTTTAGTTGTTCTAGAGATGGGGTTTCACCATGTTGGCCAGACTGACCGTGAACTGTCCTCAAGCAAGCCTCACAAAGTTCTAGGATTACATGTGTGAGCTATTGGGAGAAGTAAGTCCATGAATATAAGTTGAGTCCAGACAGAGTTCAAGAACTTTGTAGAAAATTTGAGGAGTTGAAGGAATTTCTGGATCTCTAGAATTCCTTCTGGTATTTAAAATCTGTGATTCTATGAGGTAAAAACTTAGAATAGTGGTATATTTTTACGTGCTTAGCTTGGAAACATATGTGCTATAATGTGCAGTTAGCATAAACTGCAGTAATTGTGCTTTTAAGATCAGTCAAGTAAAGTAATTTCTTTTCTTTCCTCTTAAAAATAGGGCAAATTGGATCAAGGCAGTACAGATGTGTAGCAAACCCAGAGAATTTGCATTGGCTTTAGCTATTTTGGAGTGTGCAGTAAAACCAGTCGTGATGCTGCCAATATGGCGGGAATCTTTAGGGCATACCAGGTAGGTGGACTCTGAGCCTTGTGAATGATGGATATTGGACTCCCTTCTGAAATACTGATGTATTCATGATGAAAGCTAATGCATTTAAGAGGCCATATTAAAGACTTTACTTTTGCCCCTATTTTCTTCCTCTTTAAGATGTACACATGAATGAACACATGAATGAACATTGGTTTTTATTTTAATACAGGGTTATGGTAAAGATAAAAAGATCAGTTAAAAATTTTTAAACATTTTCTAAAGTAAATAGCATAGCATTTTGATTGAATAGAAAGAATACTTACATTTTTTGAGTATTTATTTTAGAATGTTCCAGGTACTATGCTAGGGATGTGAATTACATTCTTTTTTAGAGTTGGGTATCTGTCCAAAGATCAGGCAGCCTCCAGAGTTCTACGACTTGAATAGGTAGTTAAATAAATAAATTTAGTGATTTGAAACTACTTTGTAATCCTGATGGTTTGCTTTTTAACTTTAATTAGGCTTTAATAAGTTATTGTTACAAAACTAATATAGCTTATGGTAAAAAGTGCAAATATTATACAGGAATATAAAATAAAAAGTAAAAATCATTCTACCTTCCTCACACCCTTTTCCCCTACAGGGCCTATACCAAAGGTATAACCTTATTATTTTAAAAATATACTTTACGTTTTTTACTACATCTATGTATTATTTTATAATAAAATCGTTTTAAGAAAAGTGAAGTTATCCCTACTATGCTTTTTCATCTGCTGAAACTTGTTCCCAGTCTTTGATCTTTCCCCCACATAAATCTTACCAATTCTTTTCTCCTTCCCATTTTGAATTTAATTGTTGCTACCAACAGAGGCTTCCTCAAATGGAGTGGACTTAATTCTTCCTACAATTAAAAAAAAAATAGCAGAAGGTTAAGGTGCCATAAAACTGTATACTACTGGAGAAGAGAGCTCAGTAGGTGCACTCCTTTATTCTGCGTCTCCTTGTTGTCTTTTATCAAGGTAGAGCAGGGACAGAGTCGGGGCAGCTGCGAGGCAATACTCTGTATCTCTTTGTCCTTCTTGCATTTATCTCCAGACTTGCCCCACACTGTCTGTCCCAACTTTATCCTATTCAGGGATTATGCTGAAATGCGTGTTGATAGACCAAGCAGTTATGCATCTGGAGACAAAAATAAAGCTAAGCTAAATGTTGCTGAGTAAAGCTCTTATAATTAATTAAATGTAACTTAAAATTACTATATCATGCCTTTTATAGATCTGTTTTTAAGTATTAAATATTTTAAGCTTGGCACCCGTTGCTCAGTGGTAAGGGCACCAGCCACATACGCCTGGATTGGCGAGTTTGAACCCAGCCCGAGCCAACTAAACAGTAATGACAACTGCAACAAAAAAATAGCTGGGTGGGTGGTGCCTGTGGCTCAGTGGGTGCCAGCCCCATATATCAAGTGTGGTGGGTTTGAACCCAGCCCTGGCCAAACTGCCACAAAAAACAGCGGGGCATTGTGGTGGGCACCTGTAGTCCCAGCTACTCAGGAGGCTGAGGCAAGAGAATCGCTTATGTCCAAGAGTTGGAGGTTGCTGTGAGCTGTGATGCTATGACACTCTACCACAGGCGACATAGTGAAACTCTGTCTTAAAAAAAAGTATTAAACGATCTAGTAGAAGATAGAATTCAAATTTTTTAAATCCAGGTATTTTTTTTTCTTCCTGATACATTCTTTTTTTTTTTTTTTGAGACAGAGCCTCAAGCTATCCCCCTGGGTAGAGTGCCGTGGCATTACAGCTCACAGCAACCTCCAACTCCTGGGCTCAAGCGAGTCTCTTGCCTCCGCCTCCCAAGTAGCTGGGACCACAGGTGCCCGCCACAACACCCGGCTATTTTTTGGTTGCAGCCGTCATTGTTGTTTGGCGGGTCTGGGCTGGATTCGAACCCGCCACCTTAGGTGTACGTGGCTGGCGCCTTAGCTGGTTGAGCTATAGGCGCCGAGCCCTGATACGTTCTTGTCACTAGTCTGCTAAATAGCTTTTTAGTTAAATTAATTAATTAATCATTTTTTTGAGACAGAGCTTAACTTTGTCACTCTTGGTAGAGTGCTATGGCATCATAGCTCACAGCAACCTCAAACTCTTGGGATCAAGTGGTCCTCTTGCCTCAGGTTTTTATTTTTTAGTAGAAATGGGGCCTCTCTCTTTTATAGGCTGGTCTCCAACTCATGAACTCAAACAAACCACCCGCCTTGGCCTCCCAGAGTGCTGGGTACAGTCATGAGTCACTGCACCTGGCCCCAAATAGCTTTTTCAGACTTTTTTTTTTTAAATTAAATGATAGCTGTGTACAGTAATGCAATCATGGGATACAGTCTAGTGTTTTCATATACAATTGGAAATATTTTCATCAAACTGGTTAACATAGCCTTTATGTCATTTTCTTAGTTACTGTGTTAAGACATTTATATTCTACTTTTGCTTTTTCAGACTTATAAAATTATTTTGTGAATTGTGTCAGTATCACCCACTGGTAATGTACACAAAAGAACTCTTTTTTTAATATGATGAAGAGATGCTATAAAATAAAACATTCTGAATTTTTAAAAAATTAGGGACCATGATTCAGAAAAATAAGAAATTAACAGCATTAATAGTCTGACAGTATCATAGTCAACTAGATAGGTAACAGACTCTAGAAATTGAAAATTTTTTTTTTTTGAGAGACAGAGTCTCACTATATTGCCCTCAATAAAGTTCTATGGCATCACAGCTCACAGTAACCTCAAACTCTTGGGCTTAAGCAATTCTCTTGCCTCAACCTCCCAAGTAGCTGGGACTACAGGCGCCTGCCACAATGCCCAGCTATTTTTTGGTTGTAGTTGTCATTGTTGATTGGCAGGCTCAGGCTGGATTCAAACCCACCAGCTCTGGTATATGCAGCTGGCACCCTAGCCACTGAGCTACAGGCACCAAGCCTCGAACAAATATTTTATTCATAAATTTTTTAAAATTTTATTTTTATATTATTGCAATATTCACTAATAAAGCTTTGAAAGCAATCTAAAAATATTTAATAGAACATTTTTAAGGCCAGGCGTGTCTCACATCTGTAATCCCACAATTCTGGGAGGCAGAGATGGGTATATTGTTTGAGACCAGCCTGAGTAAGAGTAAGACTCTGTCTCTAAAAAACAAGCAGGCATTGTGCTAGACACCCATAGTCCCAGCTTCTTGGGTGGCTAGGGCAAGAAGATCATTTAGAGCCGAAGTTTGAGGTTGCTGTGAGCTAAGATCCCATGGCACTCTACCAAGGATAACAAAGTGAGATTGTCTCAAAAAAAGAAAAAAAAAGAATATTTAAAAATTAATAGGAGGCTCGGTGCCTGTAACACAGTGGTTACAGTGCCAGCCACATAAACCAAGGGTAGCGGGTTTGAACCTGGCCTAGGCCACCTAAGCAACAATGACAACTGCAAGAACAACAATAAAAAAGTAGCCAGGCATTGTGGCGGGCGCCTGTGGTCCCAGCTACTTGGGAGGCTGAGGCAAAAGAATTGCTTAGGTCCAAAAGTTTGAGGTTACTGTGAGATGTGGCACCATAGCACTCTGCTGATGGTGACATAGTGGGACTCTGTCTCAAAAACAACAACAACAACAAAATTATGTTTTTGAAAGTAGAATATATCCCTTATTCACATATAGGAAGACTGTGTCTTGACAATGTCAGTTTTCCTCTTGTTAATGTATAAATTAATTTTAATAGCATTAAAAATTTTAGTTGAGTTTTCTGTAGAATTTGACAGTATGATTCAAAAAATTATGTGGAGAAGGACAATAATAGAAAAAGTAAATTTGAAGCACAAGGTAGAGGGATTTGCTCTGCCAGATAGCAAGGTTTCTTAAAAATCTATAATAATATTGTGCTATAGATACAAAGGTAAAGCGATAGAACAATGGAATAGAATATGGAGTCCAGAAAGAGACCAACACATATATAGAAATGTAACGTACGATACAAGTAGCTTTAGAAATGATAAAGCATTTATTCATTTGTTTATTTGATTAATAATTTTTTTGAGATAGGGGCTCTGTTAGCAAGGATGGAATATAGTGGCAGTTATAGCTCACTAAAACCTGAAAGTCCTGGGCTCAAGCATTCCTCCCATCTCAGCCTCCAGAGTAGTTGGGATTTTAGGCATATACCACCATGCCTGGTTAATTTTTAAATTTTTTGTAGAGACAGGTCTTGCTGTTTACCAGGCTGGTCTTCAACTTCTGGCCTGAAGTGGTCCTCCCACCTCAGTTTCCCAAAGTGCTGAGATTATCAGCCAGAACAAAGTGCTATATTTATTTATTTATTTATTTATTTATTTTGGGGGATAGCCTCAAGCTATATAACCCTGGGTAGAGTGCTGTATCATCACAGCTCACAGCAACTCTTGGGCTTAAGCAATTCTCTTGCCTCCCAAAGTAGCTGGGGCTACAGGTGCCTGCCACAATGCCCAGCTATTTTTTTTTTTTGGTTGCAG